ACATATATATATACCGGAACAAATGAATGAAAGTATTCAACATTTGAAGAAGGCAGAGAAAAAGGAAATACTAATTATATGCCAACGACAAACATTAAACAATCATTTATACGCATACACATACATATGTATTCAATATGTATATTACATGTAGGCAGATTGATATGTATGTACGATTATATAAATTTTTACTTGCACGTTACTCATTACAGTTACGTAGAGACTTGAGTCCTATCAACCCTTCCTAAGGGCAAATAAATTTAAATAAGAAAATTAAGCTCGCATGCATAATAAAAGCGAATCGCGATTATCCGCTATCTATACATTAGATTCCATCATAATTTCCATTTAAGTTAAAGTCTAACTTTATGGCAGTTAAGATATATTAATCACAATATGAGGAAATGTAAATAATAAATCGATTGAGATTTAGATTGAGATTGAGAGAGAAACGAAAGGACTCGAATTTAACAAATTTTTTTGATTAACTTTTTCATATATCTTTCGTAAGCATTCGATTCAAATTGTGTAACTTAATTAAACAACAACAATTTAGATTCGCTTGATTTCGCGTTTTTTATTGTTGTCAGTAAAATGTTAACATTTCATCAGCGCCAATAAAATTGGTTTCACTTTTCTTCGTCTGTCATATTAAAAATCGTCAATTAGATAAAAATTAGGTAAATCGATCCAATCAAAAAATCAAATGAATAAGAAAATTATATGCAGTTGCTATCGAATCGCTTATAGCCGTCACCGGTGGAAAGAAGAAAAAGACCAAAATTTCCATGCACTATAATATTGGATGGGTGTGGCAAATTTTTATAATTTCTGTGTAGCAAAGGCGGAAATTCTTATCGTGGATCTAGTGTAGTTTATGAGTAATGATGAAAAACCACGAAAAGTGAGAGTACTCTCAGTTTTTATTGCATTGTGGGCATGCGCTCTGACCGTTTTGAGTCATTTTCAAAATCAACCTGCAATATTTCCGCCAAATTCTGCCAAGACTATCGTCTTCACTTTTTCGACCAGAAGAATACGTACAACCGACATTACACTGACATGGCAATTTGGCATAAACCTTTAATCAGTCCATGGCTCGCAAAAAAATTGTTATATTTGCGGTGTTCGGAAATTATATACACTGTTCCTTAAGGCATCTCTGCCCCAAGTATTGCATCGATTGGGCCCTTCCGATTCAAGATGCGGGATTTCTTTCTCACTGCGCCTCCATATGGGGTAAGATTCATTATATAAAAATGAAAATATTTAATTTTGCTTTGAAAATATTTTTTTTTAGTGTCATCTCTCAAATTCAAAGTAAAGTAAACAAGTAGGAAAATTATATTCGCTTATATTCTTTTATACCCATCCTCGTTAACCTATCAAAGATTGAAAACAAGGAAAATATAAGTTTGCATACTTCGTAGTATTGGGTGGGCATGGCTGATTTTTTCTGTTTTTTATAGAAATTTATATCCTGTATAGATTTTAATTAATGAGTAACGAACAAAAGGCACGCAACGCAAAGGTATTCTCAGTTTTAGTTGTATAAACCTGTGGGTGTTATAGGCGTTTAGGCGATATCGTCTTTTTTACGAACGTAAGAGTATCCACCACATATATAACAGTTTAATTAATGGACAAATGAACGAGCTAACAGACGGACAGATGGACATGCTTAGGTGTATTCCCGTTTTTAAAACTGGCCAATTGTACTGGATGGGGTTTTGAAATCAACAAAATAAGTATAAAAAAAATTCTGGAAAGACAATGTGAAATAATCAAAAAAAGTAAATTTACCAGCAATTGCTGGTATACGATATGTCTATGAGAAAGTATCTACCGAATTGTTGTGTTTATATATACATTTCATGAAATTATAAATCATGATCGTAATCTGTTGTCATCTTATACGCTTATGACATCCAACATGATCTATTATATTCCAAAAAATTCCATATATACAAGCAAGTCCACAACGAATGGTGGCGATAAACCCAACATTTTTTTATACCGATAGTTACAGAATTATTTTCTGAATAGATCTAAGCTTGTTCCTCCATCTGTCCGTCTTGTATTCAACCTACAGAAGATATTTTGATTATATTTGGTACATTGGCATGCTTCGGCTTAAGTACAAACGCTATTAACAATTGTTCGGATCGGACCTCCTACCTTATGACGCCCTATTTTGAAAAGTAGTTATACGAATTACGATAGCAAGCGAATGCCAATTTAATGATGGACTATGGCCTATTACTATATTTTTACTTGTCTAATTTAATATAAAATGGGAACGATGTCTTCCGTTGACTCTCCTCCGCATATTTAATGACACCGTGACTTGACAAACACGGGTAGCTTTGTTAGAATACTTGGCAAGTAACTTTTGTGATTATAGTTTTTCTTTAATTTGCAGTTAGCTACAACAAGCTATAACAAGGCAAACCAAAGCGATAATTGATAAACGTTATTGTGCCGATCGCATAAGACTTTTGTCTCATTATCGTTGCTATCATTCATATTTAAATGAAAAGCAGCAAAAAAGAGAGAAATTTTTGCTTATATTTATTTATGACTGTCAAAATCCGAAAATAAACGGCTGATTCTCGTCTCTCAGAAGTAAATGAACAAATGAACTCACCCTTTTGGCAACGCTGCTCGAAAGAGGACGCATTTTTTTCGGTGCAGAAAATCTGTAACAATTTTCTCTAAAAGGTTACAAATCGCATAAAAAATCTGATGTGAGATGACTAAATCCAATATTGAATATGTGCGGCGACTCCTTACTTGAGTCTCACATCACTGAACTAACTTAAATGAAAGCACAATCGTTATCTACTACAACAGCGGCTGACCTTTAAGCTTCAGATTTAATCTTTGATAAATTTAAAAAAAAAAAAAAACAAATAGACCTGCTTTCTTGTTGGAGGGACTTATCCACGTCCTTCAGTAAAGAAGAAGGCCCTCGGGAACAGGCTGCGATGCCATCAAATACGACATGCTAAAGGACCTTTCTATCCCAAGTCTATCTGTTCTTTCCAAATGCTTGGCGAAAAATTAATATTGTTCTAATCTCTAAATTAGAAAAAAGTCTTGGTGATTTCACTAATTTTAGATTCATATCCCTTTTGTCTGTTAAAAGTCACGAACATTTTTGTTAAGACTCATAAAATTTCTGCACACCAGTAACCTCTACCCTGCTCGGTCTCATGGATCTTAGACTCTGGATCTCGAATTTTAGTTCTGGGCTTGCATTCAGCTCAGATCCGCGCAGCTACCCTGTGGGAGACCTCTTCAAACTATACAGTGCTAGTCTACATTTCCACGATAACATAACCCATATATTTCATTACAAAAAACAAATCAAAGGCGATCCAATTTGCAAAAGAATCTACGAAATTTATCAATATCTCCATAAATGGTACAAGAATGAACCAATCAGCATTTTTCAAATACTTCGGCAGGATTATCAACGTTAGTCTAACCCTCCAAGGATATTACCTGGAAAATTTTAAAAACTTCTCGGTCCTCTCCCAAAGAAAGCTTTAAACGTTCGCAAATCCCTAAGACGTTGCACTGATTTCTCCCCTCAACGCCGATAGAAATTCTAAGGTCTATTTCGGGTGGATTTTCGGTTTCAAAGAAGTCCTACTTGCTAACTGCAAAGGAACTTTTAAAAGTAAAAATCTTTAGACCTTCTCTCTTCGAATGGATGGTCTGCAGATAAAATGTAGTCTCCAGCAGCTACCGGAAATTTATTCACATTTCCAACAAAGTCACCACGATCCCCATTTGGATTTCGGCTCATTCCAATTGAAAAATCGATATGAATATGCTCAAGTCTATTGCCAATTCCAAAAATAATTTGTCTCACTCAAGTCTTCGAGCCGTCAGATATTCTGGATTACTCCTCGGCAAATTCAAAGTCTTGGAAAAACTATCTTCCACCTTTATTGAGCTCCTTGCTAGCAGAAAAGCGATTGTGTTTGCTAAAGCCAATAACTTGATATAAATATTTTATCTTTTCTGATAGAAAATCGGTCTGTATGTTAGTCAAAAATCCGTATAATACGTATTATTGGAATCTATGACATTTTAAATGATCCATTTTTTGAAGAGTGCCCCTCGATCTGGGTACTTAGGTAATGTGGTTTCAACTTAAATTAAAGGGCTGATAGTCACACGCGTGAGGCTCAATTTGACCGTACAATCCTCTCCATCGACTATCCTCACTATATTTCCGTCTAATTCGGAAAAACGTCATACAAAAATGTAAGGATGAATATCATGAAATTGTTCGAAAAGAAAATTATCGTCTTTTTTATGGAATTCATTCTTTCCTGACCTTTGAGCCCCTGCCGAATGGCCAATTACAAGGTAGGAAAGTGAAGATTCATGAGCGATTGTACATATAACCACGTCTACTTAAAAATTATCAAGGCTCTTCCCTCTGATATTTGTGAGGAATGCAAAGTCAACTGAGCATCTAATTTTTGAATGCAGAAATGTCAACCTTTCGCCTTTTTTAACTTATGTGAAATTTTTCGTGGTACTAATTATACACATCCCAAACAATTTACTGCATTTATCAAATTTGTTTTTTCGGTTTTTCTTTTTAATATCTTCTTCACCTACTGTCTTAATAAACATATATACAGCCTAAACTTATAATTCCTTTCTTCGGGAAATTTAACCGGAAGTCGACAGTACCTGTACATCTTCGCTGCTAAACGAAGCAAGTCTCATCTACCGGACATCTCATCCTCCGGTTTCTTGCGGAAATTCATCCAACTGCTGCTGCCAATCTCATAACCAATGAAACAATTCCGCGAAAAATTCATTCATCTCATGTTACTGGTGTATAAGCCTGTCAATCTACGGGCTTTATCCATTTCTCTGTTACAAACCAAGAAAAAAAAAAAAGCAACCAACTGTTCACACACTTAATATATGCATATATTTATTTCAATTGTGAAAT